TAAACCAAAGCTAGGTATCAAATAATCATTTTCAGAATATTTCCTTGTCACCTCTTTCACAGCTGATCCACCATTTAATTTACTCAGAAAGTAACTTTTCTTTACTATCCATTCTCTATATTCTCATTGGTTTTGAGCTATCTATATTAGTCGCTTTCCTAAAAAAAAAACAACACAAAAAAACCCTTCCATTGACTCCCATTATAAAAGGTGTGATTTTTTTATTAGCTTACATGATGCTATTATCCATTATTATGTGGTATGGTTTTATCTATGATGCTGAAAGTGTAAGGAGCATTTCTGTGTTTAGAGGGATGATATTTTAAATCACTGCAGAAAAAGGTGAGCAATAGCTATTCAAAATGAGCAACTCTCAAACTGGACCACAGATACCTCAAGATGAGTTTCTGGTTATGATGTCATCCACCTAGATCATAGTGGTTAAGTTAGGCAAAAATGTAAAGCCCGATGGGATTTGAATTCTGCCTTATTATTTATATGACTTAGACTTTGCCAAAATATGGGGATAAAGAAATAATTATCTTCATGATTATTGTTACATGAAGATTATTGTTATGTTACCTAGGAGGAATGCACTAGGGAAAACTTGTAAAACAACTTTGTGAACTCTTTAAGATTATAGTGTCAATAATTCAAAATATCTTGTTACTAGAATAGCATAACTACAAACACTGGACAGATCTCTAGAAGCAGAAGAGGAGGATAACATTTCAGAAATTGAGGATACTTTTCTTATATTTATTTTAATGTCTACAGATTTTCCATTTCACATTAAAGTTTAAAACCATCCCATATTAGTAAAACTATTTTCTTTAGCATATTAAATTGAGCATTGGAGAATAAGAACTATGGGATTTAGTAGAGATCAGAAAAATGATGATAATAATAATTTAAAGAAAAGAAAAAAGTTGAGAAAGGTCGGTAAGACAAAATTAGGGCTGATTTGAGCACTCATTTTTGCCCACTATTTCTTGGCCTAACCTTGGAGATTTCAGGGTTTTGTTTTAAAAAATGCAGATGAAATCCCCTTATGGTCTAACCAGTTTTTTATAATTTGCATTTAAAATTAAGCACCAAATATTTCATGATAGTTTGCTTATGGGACTCATTCCTCTCATTAAAGTCCCTAAACAAGAAAATAACACCACTTTACTGGAGGATAAACATAAACACAAATTAATTGAGATAAACAATGTATTAATGGATTGAAGGATCCAAACCATTTCTTTGTTTTAACCAACATGTGTTGGTTGTCTAACATTGCCTGAAGTAATCCTTGTTCATGTTCTCTTTGAGATTGGGATTGATTATACTTAGTTAATAATATATTCATTCATTTAATGAACAATAAGCCTAAAGGGTAAAGATACAGTCTATTTTAGCCAAATACATTTAAGACAACGGTATATAAAAGAATGCCAGGAAATGTGTCTGTTGAAGGGTGAGCAAGTCCAAACAACTTAAAAGCCATTTTATAGAGTAAGAGAATGTGGTTATATAAGGGGAAAAAATTGCTTAGCTAAGTGTTATGTAAAGACTAGAGGCCTGGTACATGAATTCATGCACAGGTGGGGTCCCTCGGCCAGGCCAGTGATCGGCCCTTGTTCAGTCCCAATTGGGGAGATTTGGGCAGTCAATGGGGGGGAGGAATCGCAGGAGGTTGGCCTGCCAAAGGGAGGTTGGATGTGGGAGCGCACTGACCACAAGGGGGCAGCTTCTGCATTTAGCGTCTTTCCCTTAGTGGTCAGTGCACATCATAGTGACTGGTCGACTGGTGTCTCTTAGTGGTCAGTGCGCATCATAGTGACTGGTCGACTGGTCGTTCGGTCATAAGGGTCGGCTTAGGCTTTTATTTAGAGAGATGATAATGGGCTGAATCCTTTCCTCCTAAGATTGGGGCAAGACAGAAATATCTCTTCTCACCTATTTAACATTATACTGGAGGTGCTAACCAGAACAATTAGGCTATTAAAAAAATGAAAGTTATCCTAATTAAAAAAGGAGAACATAAACTATCGGTCCTTCGGTCATTAGGGTCGGCTTAGGCTTTTATTTAGAGAGATGGTAATGGGCTGAATCCTTTCCTCCTAAGATTGGGGCAAGACAGAAATATCTCTTCTCACCTATTTAACATTATACTGGAGGTGCTAACCAGAACAATTAGGCTATTAAAAAAATGAAAGTTATCCTAATTAAAAAAGGAGAACATAAACTATCTTTATTCAAGTTGACATGACTTTTTAAATAGAAAATCAAAATCCAATTTAAAAACTAATAAACAATTTCAACAAATTTGTAGAATACAAAATCAGTACACAAAATAAATAATTTCCTAACACTAATAATGAGAAATACAAATTTGAAATAAAAATTAAATGTGTAATAGCATTCAAATAATAAAAGTTTTAAAAATAAATTTAACAAAATAAGTTTACTTGAAGACTGAACGATGCAAAACAATGCAGAAAGTATTAAATAAAATCTAAACAAAAAAGCTATTCAATGTTAGTAGATAGAAATAATTAATATTGTTGAATGGCAATATTTCTCAGATGAATCTACAGAATCAATACAATTCCAGGTAGCATTTTGAGGAAATTGAAATACATTTTAAAATTTGGAATTTCATAGTAACAAGAATAGCCAGAACAATAGCTAAAAAGAAGAATGCACACTTACTGATTCCAAAAACTGATTCAAAGCTATAATAGTAAAAAAGTTGTGGTTCTGGCATAAGAATAAGCGTAAAGATCAATGTAATGTAATTGCAATTGTGGAAATAGTCCCTAACATTTATGGTAAATTGATCTTTGAGAAAAAGCAAGCCATGAAAATTCAATGGAACAAAAATAGTCTTTTTAACAAATGGCGTTGGGGAAATTAGATATCCATATGAAGAATAATGAATTTAGAATCTTACTCCCTACAAGAATTCAATTGAGTCATATGTCAAAATGTAAGAGATTAAACACTAAAATTTATGAAAGAAATATACAAATAAATTTTGTAGTCCTTGTGAGATGGTTAATTTATTTGTTACTTGACCTTGCCACATGCATGCATATATGCACACATACCTACACACACACACACACACACACACACATGTTGGTTCTGGAAAATTATCAACCTTAAAAAAACCAAAAAAACCTTACCTACTATAGCTGCATATCAGAGAGGGTTGAAAATCAAACTCAGACTCTCATTCTACGAGTAGATTAGTTACAGCACAAATTGAATTTCCAACATCATATGGTGTCTACTGTTAAAGTGAAGGTATTAATTGGGAAAAAATGAGATCCGGAAAATTTGAATGGGGACATATGGGAAGACTCTGATGAATCTGAGGTTACCGAACTCCTAAATTCTGGAGTCTTCTTTGCCAGTAGAAGCAGCTTTTCTGTCCTTGCATAAGGAAATTAACCCTGCATCTTAAGGAAAATGTGATAGCTGCCCCTGAGGCAGCTGTCTTAGAAGAAGACCCTAGTGATTCTCCTCAGCAAATATCTTCAATATTTATATAAATGTCATTTGTATTTGTTATATCAAAATTTTGACATAATGGATATGGAGAAAGGAGTGTACCTGCAGGCAATGAAGGTATAGATCATAGGGTGGAAAAGCAGTGTCAATAACAGTTAAAAATAACAGCTTGTAGTTCTGGAAATTTGAATGACTAGTTTTCAGACTTACAATATAAGTCACAAGGTTTCTGGCACATCTAGCACATCTATCTATCATCTATCTATCTATCTATCTATCTATCTATCTATCTATCTATCTATCATATTAACTAATATAAATAATTTGTCAGAAAAATATTGTTTTTATTGATGAATAGTAATAGCCATACAGTTACTCAAATAATCACCTACCTGTACACTTTGTATTTTAAAGGGCAAGTCTCTTGGATCAATATCCTCCTCAGTATATAAAGAAGCACCTGTATTCTTATTATTTACTTGGTAAATCACATGTTCAAAACCAACTGAAGGTTCCAAGGGCTCAATTCCATAACTTACATTTTCAAACTGTAGCAAGCCCCTATGAATTTCAAAACACATTTTCAAAAAAGTACATAAAATGCCATTTAGTCAAGTTTTAGTTGAATAGAATGTAGATAATTTTCAGTCTTAGTCTTAAGTGGTAAAGTGGAAAAAAAATTCCTAAGTATCCACAAACTTACCGAATGGCACTGAATAGTAATGCAATCGGTATTAGCGTAGCTATTGATATTTCATGGTCTCCAAATCTATCAAAAATCTTAATTCAGAATAAAGGTAGGAGGGATTACAAGAATTTTCATATTATGCTTTTTCTAAAACAGTTTTCCACAATAAGGCATGGTTCATGTTAGAACCCCTGAATATAATTTAAAAAATTTTTAAAGTTATTTCTGAAATAATACTCCATTTTCTCATTATAAAACTATATATCCCAACCTGAGTCCAGTACATGTGCTAAGGATCACCATAGAATTTGGATACCCTTCAATATACCCTTGGTAGTAGCAAAAATTCTGAAAAACAAAAGATAAAATACATATATCTCTATTAGAATACCTCATGTTAAAGGTACTATTTTCAAATATTTAAACCAAATGTTAATTTGTGCATATGTGTCAAATGCTTATTGTTTCTAAAATATATTTAAAGGATTATTAGATGAACATTTGGCTCAATTATCAAAATATGTTCACACAGGTTCAAAAAGTTAGTACATTTTCATATTTTTTTCCTATTATAAATTAAATATGACATTCTTAGTCATTAGGAACAAGGTAATAATCTTTCAAAACTTATTTTTTCATATTCTATTGACTTAATTTTGCAAAACCAAATAAAAGAAATCCAAGAGAAAAATTATTTGAGTGTAAAAGCAGAGTAGCTTGCACTGGATTAACTCCCTCACCAATTACAAATATAAATTCTGGAAAAATAATTTTAAAATCCAGCTACAAAGGCTGGCAGAAAAGAAGTGAGAGAAGGGAATCAACATTAGAAAGAAAAACATGGTATTTAGTTTGCATTTATATCACCTGAGGGCACCCCCCAAGGCAAGGCCACACAAGGTAGCTAAAGTTCCAACAAAGAACCCAATCTTACTGACCATGGTTTCAAGTTCCTAGAAGTTGAGGTGCATATCCAGGAAAGGAAGGAGGCACAGAGTGAGGCTCCAAAATGTATGTTATTGATTCAGGTGTAAGTTCTTCATTTACATTTGAACTGAGAATATGTGAAAGAGATCTCAAGTTGCTTAGCAGAAACTAAGGACAGAAAAGCCAGAACTGAGAAGACATTTTGGCTATTTCTGAACACAGGAGGGTAGTTTTGAAAGTGGCACCAGGAAAGCTCATTGTCTGGTGGAATAAGAAAGCTCTTTAGACACAAGAATCACAAACTCAAGAATGTATCATTGGATATGGCCAGTATGATCCTATATAATAAAAGCCTAATATGCAAATTGACCAAATTGTGGATGGACTGGCAGAATGATCAGTCACTATGACGCGCACTGACCACCTAGGGGCAGATGCTCAAGGCAGGAGCTGCCCCCAGCCCGCAGGCCGCAGGCCAGCCAAGGTGGGTACCAGTGGGGGGCTCCCCAGCCACCCCACCAGTCGCCCTGCAGATTGGCCCTGATGGCTACAAATTTTTGTGCACCGGGCCTCTAGTCCTATATAATAAAAGCCTAATATGCAAATTGACCAAATTGTGGATGGACCGGCAGAATGATCAGTCACTATGACGCACACTGACCACCTAGGGGCAGATGCTCAAGGCAGGAGCTGCCCCCAGCCCGCAGGCCGCAGGCCAGCCAAGGTGGGTACCAGTGGGGTCTCCCCAGCCACCCCACCAGTCGCCCTGCAGATTGGCCCTGATGGCTGGCCAGGCCTAGGGACCTTACCTGTGCAAGTGTTTCATGCACTGGGCCTCTAGTTTTAAAATATTAGATGTGCCCGGCTGGCATAGCTTGGTGGTTGAGAATCAACCTATGAACCAGGGGGTCATGGTTCGATTTCAGGTCCAGGCATATGCCCAGTTTGGGACATGCAGGAGGCAGCCGATCAATGGTTCTCTCTCATCATTGATGTTTCTGTCTCTTTCTCCCCCTCCCTTCCTCTCTAAAATCAAATTTAAAAGAAGTAAATAAAATATTAGATGTGTGAATGTGTCTCATAGTCAAGAGAAAAATCAGAAAAAGAGATAACACTAAAATAACCCATGATTTTGGAATTAGTAAGAAAAAAAAGCATAAAAAAAAAGCAGCCCTAGAGGCAGCAGAAGATAGTAGCTGCTATCTTCTGCTACTTAATAGTCACATGGTCCAGACCTCTGGCAGGCAAAAGATAACATTCAAGTTATGAGTTGGGTTTTTAGAGGCATAAGCTCCCCATCTTCAAACTAGCTAATTCAATATTAAACTACTTTTTTTTTCTTTCTAAACTGCAAATTCCTGCTCAGTATGCCTTTGGGCCAGTGCACACAGGCTGTCAGACTCAAGGGAAAACATTAGGAATCCAGTAATAACAGTATCAGCGAGAACACAAGTGATGGTGGCTGATTCCCTTGCTATGGCAAGTTCTGAATAAATAGTTTTTGCTTATTCTCAATTTTTTGGTTTTTGTTCATTTCCACAAGATATAAACAACTCAACACATCAAAATAAACTGATGGAAACCAAAAATAAAGAGAAAATTTGAAATAAATCAAAGAAAAGTAGCACATAACATTCCCAGGAATAATAATGCAAACAATAATATATTTCACTATATATTTCTTTATATAGATATAGATGACATAGATATAGAGATAGAGATACAGATAGAGATAGAGGAAACTAGGTATTATATATAGATGAATGACCGAGAGCATGAGCTTCGGAATCAAATAATCTAGGTTTTGTGTCTTGCCTTCCCCATTACTAGGATTATGAATCTGGGCAAGTAACAACCGATCTGAGCCTCCTTTTCCTCATCTCTAATAACCCCTCACTGGGAGATTTAAATGTATAGATCAGGGGTCCTCAAACTTTTTAAATAGGGGGCCAGTTCACTGTCCCTCAGACCGTTGGAGGGCTGGACTATAGTTTAAAAAAAAACTATGAACAAATTCCTATGCACACTGCACATATCTTATTTTGAAGTAAAGAAACAAAACGTAGTTTGAGGACCCCTGGTATATATATAGGTATATATAGGTAGAGAGCCAGATTAAAATGCTTAAATAGAATGAAAGCTCTGGTTCCTAAAATTATGTATTAAGATAAATTAATCTTTAAAAATGAAGATGTGGAGAATTGACTTCTAGTATGACAACATGAAGAGCTCCACAAATCTGCTCCCTAGCAAACTAAATGAAAATTATAAATAAACAACCATATAAATCCTCTGGAAATGGTCAAAAGGACAAACTGTCCTAAGAGAAAATGAATAAATAGCTCTTCAATGAAACTTATGAAAATTCAGGAAGGAAAATGGAAGCCTGTGTTAATTTGAGCCAAAACAGACCCTTTTTCCTCACCTCCAAGCTCAGTGAGATGTAGCAGGCTGCTGTGAGGGTAACATGACATCCTCTTTTACTGTTAACTGTTTATTTGTTTGTTTGCTTTTTTAGTAAGTAGAAAGAGTACACTCTAAAATAATAATAAAGTGTATAGCAACTAAGTACATAAACCAGTAATATAGTCGTTTATGATCATTATCAATTATTATATACTGTGCATCATTGTATGTTCTATACTTTTATATCACTAAGTTTTTTTACACAATAGGTTTGATTACATCAGCCTCACCATAAACACATGAGTAATGCATTGTCCTACAACATTATGATGGCTATGGTGTCACTAGGTGTTAGGAATTTCTCAGCTCCATTATAAACTTATGGGACCACCAGTGTATAGGTAGTCCATTTTTGACAGAAACATCGTTACATGGCACATGACTATACTGGTTACATTTGAGGCCAATATTCAACAACTTACTACATTCAGGACATTAATAAAGCATTCTTTGCTTTGCCTTTTTAGTTATACATTTATCTTTCATAGTTACCTCCTGGGAGGTAGGAAGTAGAGTTAGATATTAGGTATAGCAAAAGTATGTAAAATTCAGGCATGGAATATTGTGGTTGTATATCTCTTTGTCTCTCTGATACTAACTCTTTTCTCTCTTACACACACACACACACACACACACACACACACACATACATGCCACAAGCTTGTGCATGCACACACACACACGTGTGTGTATATATTTGACTATGTATTATTATATATCTGTATAGATTATTCCATATATAACTCACATATATTTGCCTCGTCTGTTCAGTGAAATTTAAAGCAATTATTCACCGTCTCTATTATTTTTTTTGTTAAAATTTTCATGTCTATCAAAATGCTTTAATTTCAGAGTATTAGTAGATTCTCCACATAGAAACCAGTAATGCAAATGGAAAAAAAACACACAACAGGAATTGGTAGGACAGGGCAGAGGTAAAAAGAAAAATGGCATTTCAGGCATGGGTAATTCATGCAATTCTATGAACACTTCTCTATTATTCTTTCAATAAACTACTGACATGCCCAGCCAGCATGGCTCAGTGGTTGAGCATTGAACTGGTCAGGGTACATGCCTGGGTTGCAGACTGGATCCCCAGTGTGGGGCATGCAGGATGCAGCAGATCAATGATTCTCTCTCATCATTGATGTTTCTATCTCTCTCTTCTTCTCCCTTCCTCTCTGAAATCAATAAAAATATATTTAAAGAACTACAGACTTTATAAAATGAAGCTCCAAGTGTTCCAAATATATGAAAATTTAATGTATTCCTAAATGTGCTTTCAATTCCATATGTATTCACTAGGTCCCTGAAAATACTTCAGAAAAGTATTTAAATTCTCCTTTTCTTCCCTGATTTAGCTTTCCTAACATAAGTCATGCTTTTTCATTTGAAATGTGTTACAACATAGTCAACCCATTGTCCACATAAGCACATACAGTATATGTACATCATCATTAAATAATAGCTTAAAAACATCAGAATCATTTTTGGTTTGGATAATCATCTGTTTAATAAGGCTTAGTTAATACATACATAAAAAAAGAAATGGTTAAATTCATGCCAAAACAAACATAACTTCAACTCTTTGTACTCCAGCAACAAGTGGACCCTAAGTAAGGTGATCACAGAAACTCACCTAATAAAGGTAAAACAGACACTAAAATTCATACCTGAATCTGTTGTTCAAAGGGCTTCATATATCCTGTGCCATTATAACCATAAACTCTAAAACTAGGAGGCAAGAAAGCTCTGCAAAATAGAGAGAGTGTTTAGTGAAAAATTTGTTCCCTAAGCTTTTATTTTTAAAATATATTTATTTTGTTACTAGAGGCCTGGTGCACAAATTCATGCATGGGTGGGGTCTCTAGGCCTGGCTGGTGATCAAGGCCAATCAGGGCCAGGCCAAACAAGGCTGGCCATCTGGGCCTGCAGGCTGTGGGGAGGGATAAGGGGAGGGAATGCGGGAGGTTGGTCGCTGGCCCCAAAGAGGAGCCAAACCTCGGCAACCCCTGGGAAAGGGGCTGCATCCACCACCACCCACCCCCAGCTTCCCATCCCAGCCTGAGGCCCAAAGGCCCTGGCAGGGTTGGGAGAGGATGCAACAGTCGCTGGGCTGAGTGCAGAAGGAAAAGACGCTGGATGCTGACGCTGCTGTTGGCACCCCACCACCGCGCAGTTCCCTGCCTACCCCTCCTCCTTCCCTCACTGCTGTGCCACCATGGTGGCCAGGCAGTGGTTCAATCGGGCCTGGCAGCCGGGGGGGAAGGATGGGGGAGGGACTGTGGGAGGTTGGCCAGCTGGAGGGAGGGACCATGGGTGGTTGGCTGGCAGCAAGATGTTGACTGTGGGAATACACTGACCACCAGGGGGCAGCTCCTGGGTTGAGTGTCTGCCCCCTGGTGGTCAGTGCGCATCATAGCGACTGGTCTATCAGTCATTCTGGTCATTCCAGTTGTTCTGGTCATTCGCTTAGGCTTTTTAGTTTATCTATCTATCTATCTATCTATCTATCTATCTATCTATCTATCTATCTATATCTATCTATCTATCTATCTATCTATCTATCTATCTATCTATCTATTTATCTATCTATCTATCATCTATCTATTTATTATAAACTAGAGGCCCAGTGCACGAAATTCATGCATGGGGGTGGGAGGGGTGTCCCTCAGCCTGTCCTGCACCCTCTCCAATCTGGGTTCCCTCGAACATCCCTCTCACAATCCGGGACTGCTGGCTCCTAGCTGCTCGCCTGCCTGCCTGCCTGATTGCCCCTAACCACTTCTGCCTGCCAGCCTGATCGCCCCCTAACCACTCCCCTGCTGGCC